TTCGCTCTCAGTGTAACTAGGAATTTGTTTTTTCAAAATCTCAATCAGTTCTTTTATCCGGCTGTCATCGTTTCTTGTCTTATTAATGGAATGAGCATTGAAATTAGACAGTTTTTCAGTCCGGATGTTACAATTATTTACGTATTTTAAGTCACTTGTGGTATTTATAACTTTGACTATTGGGTTACTTGTACTAATTATGCACCTTTCCGTGAAAACACCGTTATCAATTTCTTGTGACTCCACAAAAAGTGGTTCCGGCGAACTTTCTAAACTGAAGAGTCGAAAAACTTCGCATCTGGATAGAATTACGCAGGTATCGCTTTCAGTTCCGTGAAGAATCGGAATTGCGACTTTTTTGTTACCTACCCAGACGGAAATGCGATTGCTTGCATGGCTGATAACGCATTTATTGGCTTTCAAGAAGCCCTTACCCAATATACCGTCTGCAGGGATGTTAAACTCGTCATTAACCACATGTAACGTATGTTTTATAAAAAAAATCGGAAAAAGCCAAATTTGTCGTAATTTTACCCAGAGTGGAAACAGTATTAGTCACGCCCGTGATGCGGATAATATCATTTGTATCAATTGGAAAATTTTTGTTAAAACTTGAAATTTTAATTAAAGAAATGTCAGCTTGCGTATCGACCAAAAATGTGCATAATTTATTTGACCTGGAAATTTGCAATTGAATAAAATCTGAATAATTTACATTTAAGCAGTAAATGCCTTTTGTTAAGGAAAAATCGTTTAGTTGTCTAGCTGCTGCTCCCCCAGTGTTCGCTCCTGAGGGGCGTGAGCGTTTAAATCACGGACGTTTGCATTTCTACTATCACCTTTTCTACTTCGTCTTTGGAATCGGAAAATGTTGTTGAAGCAAGTATTGACTTGACCAGATCCGACTTGGCATTTATTCGACAAACATTTACGGTTTGCTCAACGGCCATTTCATGAGCTTTTTGTTGCGTCATTCCTTTGGAATTGCCAGGTTGAATCCTTCCACGTAGAGCAATTTTGATGTCATTAACTGATAGTATTTGCGTCGGTAATGCTTCGCGAGCTTTTCCCTCTAATTTAGATTTTAAAAATGCCATCAACGTACTGGTTAGTTTTTCTTCAGCTCGGTCTTCTATCAAACTTATTTTATCGAGAAAAGAATCGAGCGCTAACGGATCCCTACTATAATTTTCTCTAATTATTGATGAACATAGACTAATAAATGACTTTTTCTGTTCGATCGTAGCCGTTTTGTAAAACCTTTTTGAAAAATCGGTAATATCAGGTGAGCTGGTAGCAGCTGGTGGAGCGTTATCTACAAATAATGAGTACTTTAAATCTGGAAGTGATGAGCTTCTTTTGATACAAAAATCTAGCGATGCTTCTGACTCAGCGTCAGCGAATTCTTCTGATTCGTTTGGCATATAAGACCTTAATGTATCCTTCGGAATTGGAATCTGACAATTTAACCTAACAAAGCACTTCACTAGTAGCTCCTTGCAACGTGATAACTTTGCTTGTACTTCTTTGAGGTTATGTGTTGAACTGTTATCGGTTACGTGCAATACAACTTTATTATATCAAGTTATAAGCGAATCTTTGTATTCTTTGAGTTTAACCGCGTTTGTCGACAGTGGTCGATTCTGCAAAATTCGCTTAGTTATTTTAACGAAATCAGATTGGTATTCTGTAAATTGTATTTCAAAATCTGGCATAACCGATAACCTCAAAACGTTCAAGCACCGATAGTTACCACCAGCTACCACTCACCGCACCCTTATGTTGAAAAAGAATATATGTATTACTTACTGAGAAAATAGTCAAATATTATAGTCCGCTGAAAATTTGGCATGCAATAAGGGGTATAGCCATGCAATAGGAAAGGTATGTGTTCTTTCTTTGTGCTGTCCCACATGCAATGTAAAAGATGGTGTTTTGTTTTTTTCAAACTTTTTTTTTTTAATTAGGCAAAATATTGTTTTTGTTTTTAATTTTGTAAATGTGTGGTGGGCACTTTACGGCAAATAATGTTTTATGTACATATACATATACATAGATATATAAATGCATAAGTGTATGTAAAAAATTTTGAAAAATTTTAGAAACATTTAAATTGTTATAAATTTTTGTCACTGCCGTTTGCTGTAGAAAAATAAAAATTGTTAAGGTGGGTCATTTAAGTAAGGGTTTTTGCGAATAAAATAGGTGTGGTAGTTTTTCGGTATAGAACCTTCGGAATTATTGTCAGGAAAATGTAGTTCTTTACGTCACGGTTCTTTCTGCCGAGAAGACAAATTAAAAATTGGAGTCAAATACGTAGCACAAAACTTGAAATTTTATCGAAAATTAGATGGAAGTAAAAATATTGAAAGTTATACAAGATAATTTAGGTGATTAAAATTATAAAAAATATTTATATATTCTAAATACATATATATATTTTATACTTAAATTCTGCTGCCTGCTGTACCGTTCCGCCATGAATTGCTGGTTATCCGCCGTTGTTGTTGTATGCTGCTGGTTACTGCTTGCTTCCGTTGCTAGTTGTTACATATATGTATACTGGTTGTTGTTTCGGTGTATTTTAACGCCGATGCTGGTTTTGCTGCCACTTGATGGCGCGGTTTCACATACCATCATGTATGTATATTTGGTGCCGTTTAGTGGCTTAGCGACGGTGGCGTGTTTTCATTACCGCTATGTAGCGGTTGTTACCCTTCAGTGACTTAGCGACAAGGTGGCGTTTTTTCACTCACCGTTATGTAGCGGTTGTTACGGTACAGTGGCGGCTTGGCGTCACTTGGTATGTGGTGCAGCACTCACACATTTTTCTAGTTTTTAAAATTATATGTATTTGGCTCACCGCCACCATGCCATGAAATTGGGTTTCTTTCGTTTTACTCGAAAATTTAATTATTTAATTGGGAAATTTCGTTACCACCGTTTTTTTTTGATTTTTAAGTTTTTTTAAATTTTTAATTTTTTTTGTAGTTTTTTATTACTTGTAATTAGTACCACCACCAATAGTTTGCTTAGCTTTTGCTTGTTTCGATTAAATTGAATTCATTTTTCCCTTTTTTGTAGTTAGGTAACGTTTAGTTTTCTAGTTTAAGTTTCTAGGGCTACCTTCAATTCCTAGTTTTATGTAGTTAGTGCAGCTGTCTACTTGGGTAATATGAAATAATTTCTTTTTGGTGTGTACCCCGGATTTCGCTGGCCGGGGACGTACCCGTTCCCCTGATCGGGTCGTCTTCCTCCTCTGAAATTGTCATTTCCTGCTTTAGAGTGTTGGCCCCTATTGTCTACAGAGCCTGTCTTATTAAAAATTGTGTTTTCATTCTTATTGAAATTCCTATTGAAATTACTCCTGCTTCTGTTTGCGTACAGAACTTGCGTGAACCTTACTGGACTGACTTCTTTGGCCACCTGTATTGCTTCTACCAACTTGACTGGCCCAGCTGCTGCTACCACTGCCTTGGAAGGCTCAGACAAGCCTTTTTAAAAGCTGATAGACCTATTTGATCATTGAGCTTCAGAATGATCTCCCATGCGTGTCGCGTAAGCTTCGGCTGATTGCGTGCCCTGATAGGACCTGGCAATATCTGCATGTAATTTCGTTGTTGTGTTGTTGGGCTTATATGCTGCTTGTAAAACTATCTTTAGGGTTGGTATGTCAGTCGGTGTCCTGCTATTAATTTGTTTTTTACTTTTTCAGATAGCTTGGCCATTAATATGAATTTTACTAGCATTTGCCTTTGAGCACCATCTCTTAAGGTTTCGCTATAAAATTCTTTGTAACCTAAAAAGTTATTTAAATCTTTTTGTTCCCCGCGGAACTGCGGTATTATCTTTGAGGCTTCTACCAAATTGAATTCTGCCATGATAAAATTTTTTTTCCAGAGGTCTCTTCTTTGATTACCAAAAACTTTCCTATCTCTTTGGTTAACCCGTCATATATTTCTTTTAACCTTTCGACATCATCACTAGCGCATCTTCGAGTATTCTTAACCGCCGGTGCCTTTTTTAGTTTCGCTAAAAGTTCATTTAAATTATTAAACTCCATATACCCCTCTACAAATTCTGCTCAATAATTTACTCATCTATGTAATGTTTTTAAGATCCTAGACCTTAGTTCTATCATATTTATTTTTTTCACTTAGTATATTAATATTTAATGCAATATTTATTGTAAAACTGATTCATGCTATACATTATTGTTTACGCTCTTATGCTTTTTTATATATTTTTTATAATGCGCATTTAGCTTTGATAGTACTAAAATTATTAAAATTATTGAGTTTACATATTTTAATTTTGTGGGTGTATCAAACTGCTGTGATGCGGATGCTACTGCTGCGGCTGCATTGTTGTTGTTGTTATTAACAATTTCCTTCTTTGTTTGGGTGCCACTCATCTTTCCTCAGTTTTGTTGCTATGTAATGCAGACGAACATGTGTGCGAAAGGGAAATCTATTTCCTGGTGCAGAGTTTAAAGGAATCGGAAGAGTATGAGTCAGGATAGCAAAGCTCATATTTATACTTTGAAATATGCCTCTAGGAAAAAGAAATATTCTTCCCAGCATTCTTTACAGTTTCCAAAGAAGCATGAAAACATTCCATTTTGTTGGACAGCTAATTTCGTTTTAACCGTGCGATGTCATTAGTTAGACTCTTTTCCCCTCTGTAATGTAATGTTTGTCACCAGGACCTAAGTCCTTTCAAAACCTATCAGACTTGTTCCCTGAACGGTCGGCAGGATCGACATGCAATGTTTGGTTATAATTTTCTAATGGTTTGAGTATTATTCTAAGCCCTCCGGCTGCTTTGCTCAAGCGTATAACGCTTGTTATATATACTACAACATGTTTACAATCTATTACAATAGTTCAGTTATAAAATATCTTATTTACTATGGGTAACCAAGCACATTGCTTGGTTACTCCCTAAGCTATTTCTCCTTATTTACATTCATTCTTTATTTACTTTGGGTATTCATGTAGTATGCGCTGACCCACATCGCTCGTCACCCGATCTTGCGTTTGTAATAGCAAGCGTTAAGTGTGCCCCATGTGGCGCCACACGTTAAGCCACAGTGCAAGCCATTACGAGTGTTCTGCATGTGTCATCAATCCACACTCGATCGTCACAACAAATACGCCGATTCAGCAATATACAGGCATGTTCTGCAAATCGTTTCGGGTGATATTTTCGTATTTTCCGTTTTCAAATCGTTTGACATGTCCTGTAAATCGTTCCGTTTTCATTTTTTCGAACATGAGCAAATCGTTTTGTCACCCTGTTCTGGAAATCGAAATCGTTAAAATTTTCCCGTTTTATATTCGTCAACTTAAATGATAGCGGTTTGGAAGTCTAATAAACGTTTTTTTGGAATAATATTTTTAACAATGTAAGTCCTTACTCAAATTAGCTACTTATGTGTAAATTTAAGTTATTATTTAAAAACTTTTAGGGGAAAACACAAAAACTCCAAGCAAGAGCTAATTTTAGTTCAATTAATGGAATCTCATCCAGATCTGGCAAAGAATTTTTCGAAGGGCGACAGAGTTGCCGTTGAAGAAAAGTGGAAGGAACTGACCACATTGCTAAATGCAGAAGGGCTTCCCCAGAAGGACGTTAATGGATGGAAAAAAAGCAAGTTATATTTAATCAAGTATTAAAATGAATGATGCATCCGTAAAAAGGTTGCCTATAACAATTTGGAATCGAGGGCAACAGAAGGTGGCCCTTTTAATAAACATGTATTAACGCCCAACGAAGAATGTGTTGCCAGAACTTGCGGAATTTTCGCGGCTGTGGAGGGCATTAATCATTCCAGAAGTTTTGGAGCCGAAGAAAGCTGCATCGCCAGTGAGTCGGAGGAAGAGCGTCCGCAAACAAGTAGGGAAGCCGTGGCTACCCCGAGAGCAGCAAAAAGGCCACGAGCCTCCGAAACACAAGACTGCCTCCAGACATGCATGACAACACAAGCCTCTTGCATGGAAAGAATTTCAACCACGTTGGATGACGTTTGCAAAAGCCACCAAAAAATTGCAAAATCGCATGAAGGGGATAGGGATGATATTCGACGACTTCGTCGTGCTGCTGAAAAACAAAACGAGTTGTTGGCAGAGCAAAATCGGTTGAAAGCGCAAAGTTTGGAGGAAAAAAGAAGGCATCACATCAGAATGGAGCAGTTGCAACATGAAAAAGTTAAAATAAAAATGAAAATGCTTGAGCTAGAGTCGCCAAAATGAATACAAACTCCATATCGACACCTGAGTGGAAGATCGACCTATCTCGGCAGCCAGTTCGAAAACGCCCTATCTGAGAAAACTTTTCAAGAACGCCCTACTTCATAAAATGATTAAGAACGCACTATTTCATAATTTTATTGAAACACTCCCTATAAGAATTTTTCTGAAAAACGCCCTATCCCAGAATTCGATTCAAAAACGCCCGATCCCAACACATTTTCAATATATTTTCAGCTCAGATAAGGTGTTTTTAAACCGAGTTTTGAGGTAGGGCGTTCTGCAACCAAATTCTGAGATAAGGTGTTTTTCAATCAAATTCTGAAATAGGGCGTTCTTTAATCAAATTCTGAAGTGGGGCGTTCTTGAAAAGTTTTCTGGGATAGGGCGTTTTCGAACTGGCTGCCGAGATAGGTCGATCTTCCACTCAGGTGTCGATATACAACTTTTATGTATTTAATTTTTAAATGAATAAATTTTATGTTTCATATTATCAAATTTCTAGCAGTAGAGTCTCTTAAATTTCGACCAACACTACTCAAAGTACTGCTTTCCTCATTTTCAGCTATTTCCTCATCATTAGAATCGGTTTGTATTATGCTTTCTTTTCAATATCATCTATTTGATTACGCCTACATATATTATGTAGTGCGCAACACACATTTATTATCTTCACTGCTTTTTGTGGCGTATACGGCATGATACAAATATTTATAAGGTACAATGGCTGAGAGCCAGCTTTAGGAATATTGACGTTTGCTAGCATTTTGAAAATTTCTCTTGCCGTCATTTCATTTGTTTGTTTTTATTTTCACTCAAACCAAATAAATATATTTTTTTTTTTTTTTTTTTTTTTTTAATAAGCTTAATATTAAAAATGCTTATTTAACGCTTATTATAGCAAACTTAATTTAAGTTATTTTTAAAAACGTTTACTGAAATGCTTGTTGGGAACAAAATTTTAATGCACATACACACATACATATATACATATGTAAGTAAATAAATACGTAAATGTAAACAATTGTGTTCAATGAACTTCTACATACATATCGTCGTTTAAAGTACAAAACCGCGTATCGTCATTCTGCAAAACCGCGTAACTGACATTGGCTGCCAAAAATTGGCTTTGCTCACACAAGCTCTTGGCTCAATCCTTATCCATTCTTCCTGAAATATACTAGCCAGAAATGCGATTGCTTTAGATGCTTTCTATTCCTAGACAACCGGTCAGGTACGAGCCTGATTTTTAATTTCGACCAAACTCAAATACATACATTGTTTGTTGGTCCAAATAATGAGACACGTATTTTTTCTTTTGGCTCGGAAAAATTTTTCGGCCGAAATACAAAATCACATTTTCCCGCTTTTTATAATCGAAACTGTATGGTGGAAAGTGTGTTCTAATATCTATTTGATACACAAAAAATGATCACGGCTGTATTTTTTGCTGATATATTACATACATATGTTCCATTTAGTTAAACAATATAAGAATATTGTAGTATGCACCACAAAAACGTATATTTTCTATAAAAAATCATAACTCAGAAAAAGAAAATCTTCGCCATTAGAGATTTGGGTTGATTGTAGTTCAAAGTGTCTCTTTCCCGGTAAAAAAGTTTGAAAAAAAATACACTTTTTGAGAAATTAAATTAAAAAAAAAATTTGCACTTTTTGTTTATTGTTAAATAAAAAATTTTAAATAATGAAAATCAATAATTATATCATTCTATCTTGAAGTGACAAGAATTACTGACATAATATAAAATAATGAAAATAATTTCTACAACTTCACATACGCGGTTTTGCATTTTGCTGATACGCGGTTTTGCATTTTGTTGATACGCGGTTTTGCACTTTAAACTACGATATGCTTACATGCATAAATTTAAACATTTTTTACCTTAAAGGCACTGCACTCTTGCAAAGAATGATCTTGTGCTTATATTGGGTCAAGTGGTGTGGTAAAAAATGAGCCGAGCACACATACGGGCACTTTGGCAAATCCGCTTCTATAACACCACAAGCCTCGATCCATTTTTGCCGTATATACGATAATTGCGGGAACTTAAAAAACTTGATATTGCTCTGCTTGCAGTGGACAACGGTATTTGCGCAGCCGTTAAAGCAGCAACTCATTTTTCGTTTCGAAATTTTTTAGTTTTTCCAACTTCTGAATAAATAAATATTTCAAATCATAAATTTAAATTTGTTTATTTTGAATTTCTTTGACATTAGAAGCATTTCGAGAGAGAAAGCTCAAAATGCTAGCAAACGTCAAAAAAACCCAATGGTGGACGAATTGAGCGAGCGGTTTTACCTTTAAATATTTGTATCATGGTATACGGTAAGGTAGTTTTCAAACAACGAAACCGACTTTTTAGAACTCGTATAACTCGCTCTACCATGTTACGTGCTTTTGCATGTTGCTGGTTGAATCTGTGTTCTGGTGATCCTGGATCGGAGTTTCTATATGGAGTCAATAAAAATGGTTCTAAGCCAAAACCAGAATCTCCCAGTAGCCAAGACCCTCGGTTACCAGCTTCATACTGCGAGAGGTAATATTGTTTTGCACTGCTCATGCTAAATACGAAAGCATCATGGTTTGCGCCAGGCCGAGTTGCATCTACCGCTCGTATTGTCATATCAGAATCACAAATATGTAATATAAAACAGTAGACTTAAAAAATTTACAAACACAATTTGAATTCATTCTTACAATCATTGCATTTATGCTAAAGAAACCTTTTCTGTTAAAAAAAAGATGTTCGTTCTCATAAGGCTTTACCAGAGCGACATGGGTTCCATCAATACATCAATTACTCCTGGAATCCCAAATTTTTGCACAAAATTAAGTTTCGTTTTTCTGGAATCCTCTTCAGACATATTCAGCTTAATCCACTTAGGACACAAAACATTTTCCAATACATTAACCATTTCGGATAATATTTTTGATACTGTGCTTCTACCCAAAGCAATATCGGCATCCTTTCCGACTGAACGTTGATACGAACCTTCTGCGAAAAAATCTAAGGCTTTCTGCCAATTTTAGTATAATCGGTATTTCTTTTACGAAAGGTGTTACTTCATTGAGTACTTCTAAAAAAGCATATTTGTTTAAGCGATAGCTGGAAACAAATCTAAAGTAAATAAAAAAACTTATGAGTACAATGAGTATAACCGTTTAAGCAAAACTTACGTAGAATCCGGTGTACTGAGGGGATTAGAATTGTCTCTTTAATACCGTCTATCGATTCTATTTTGGTAATGTGGCTCCCGTTCGCTCAACACATAAGCAGCCATAAAAAAACATTGTACTTATTTAATGAAATCCGTTTACTTTCAAATTATTTTGTATTTTATGCCAACGAACTCTTTTGTCATTTGGTTTGTTTAATTGTCACAGGGAAATCAGCTGTATCGAAGTTAAGTTCGAACTTAAATAAAATCGAACGAATTACAGAACACCCAAAACCAAATCGTGCGAATTGCAATTTCGGATCCGATTTTAAATCGCGCGATTTTCAGAACATGCCTGATAAGCCACAAGTGTTTGATGTAGGTCGTCCAACAATAAAAAAAAAATACTGGAAAATTATGCATTTGAAAAAAAAAAAATTGTAAAAATCAGTGTTAGCTGTTTAATAAATGACTATAGGTGCAGGAATGATATTTTCAGGGATTGAAGTCAGAAGTCCAAGCCTTAAGCTTAGTGGAAGGCTCGACCACCTTTTGCTTAATTTCGATAGGTACTCAAATTTCCCATAATCAGTTTCTTCTGTTCATCAAATGACTATAAGTGACCATCAAGAAAAGGTACAGGAATTTGCAGGGATAGTAGTCTAGATTTTTAGCTTTAATCTAAGCCTAAGTGTTTGTAAAAAATACGATTTTTTTGGCATTTTGACCTCGTTTTTCTTAAAATCTGGAGCTGATGGAAACTTTACGCTTACGGATATCAGCACAAAAAAAACCTGTCAAAAATAGTGTTAGCATTTGCTGCATAAAATTTTTTGCATTGTTAAATAGCGAATACCCGCATGT